GAAGCGGCATCATCGGTATAGTTTCCTCACTTGGAGTTCCATCTGCCCCCCATTTCGCCAGGACTCGGCCACCAAGAAGACCGCCTCGAAGGTGAAAACGGCGGTGGAGGCGGCCAAGAACATCATCAAGGAGCTTCCGTGCTACAGCTCGTCGGCGTCGGAGTTCGTCAAGGTTGCCTCGCAGAAGGGGCGCGTGGACAGCCTCGTCAAGGCTCAGATGCAGATCGAGGGCCTCCTCCTGCAGATCGGGCCGCTCGACGTGGACAGGAGCGAGGCCGACGAGACGGTTCGCAAGATCAAGGCGATCAGCAGCACGTTCGCGGTGCACTGCATTGCGATCAGGGGGCCGACAACAAAGGGTATCATTCGGATAGTCTGTAGTCTATAGTCTATAAGCGTAAAGTGTTGTGTTAATATGTGGCATGTGTATATATTGTGTGTGTATACATATATCTATATTACATCACATGTGTATGCTATAAAGATGAACTACATGTAACGCAACACTTTGCGAAGGTAGACTCTCCTTCTCGAATATTCTTATAAGGACCCCCCCTGCATAAATTCGGCCCTGGGCGCCCCCGTCGAAGAGAAGCACGCGTTTTCAGTTCCCAGTGCCCTTCCCGACCAGCATACGCCGCCCGAACGGGTCCCAAACTCGGCTCCTGGACGGTCCCGCAATTCTTCGAGACGGCCTAATACCGCCCGAGATGCGCCCTATGAGGCCTATGAGCCCAACGAGCCCTTTGAGACCTATGAGCCCTACAAGCCCAATGGCCCCAGCGAGCCGCATGAATCCTATGAGCCCCATGGGCCCTCTGAGCCCCATGAGCCTTGTGAGCCCTATGAACCTTGCAAGCCCTATAGCCTCTGACCCCTTATGAGCCCTATGCGCCGCGTGAGCCGTGCGAGCCCAATGAGGCCTATGAGGCCCTATTAGCTCTATGAGCCCGATGAGCCCTATAAGCCCTATGAGCCTTATAAGCCCTATACGCCCTATATGTCCTGCGAGCCCCATGGCCCGCGCGAGCCCTGCGAGCCCTACGAGCCTTATGAGCCTTATGACCCCTATGAGCCCTATAAGCCTTATGAGCTTGATGAGCCCTACGAGCCCTATGAACCTTATGCCGCATATGCCTTATGCCTATGTTCCCAATGAGCCCTATGAGCCCTTTGAGCCCCATGAGCCCTATGAGCCCTATGAGCCCAACGAGCCCTTTGAGACCTATGAGCCCTATGCGCCCTACGAGCCCGATGAGCCATATGAGCTCTATGAGCTCGATGAGCCCCATGAGCCGCAATGAGCCCTATGAGCCCTATAAGCCCTATGAGCCCCCTGAGCCCTGTGAGCCCAATGATCGCTATGCGCCCTCTGAGCCCTATCAACCCTATGAGCCCTATGAGCCCGATGAGCCCTACGAGCCCTATGAGCCTCAAGAGCCCTATGAGCCCTGCGAACCCTACGAGCCCTATGAGCCTTATGACCCCTACGAGCCCTATCGGCCCTATGAGCCCTCTCGGCCCTATGAGCCGTAAGAAACCCATGAACCCTATGAGCCCCATGGGCCCTGTAAGCCCTGTGAGCACTATGCGCCCTAAGGGCCCTTTGAGCCCTATGAGCCCTATAGGCCCTATGAGCCCTATGGGCCCTTTGAGCCATATGAGCCCTTTGCGCCCTGTGGGCCCTCTGAGCCTTATGAGCCCTATGAGCCCTATGAGACCTGTGCGACCTATGAGCCTTATGAGCTCACGAGCCCTATGAGCCCTATAAGCCCTACGAGCCCTATGAGCCCTATGAGCCCTATGGCCCTATGGGCGCAATTAGCCCGATGAGCCCTATGAACCCTATGGGACACATAAGCCCCATGAACCCCTATGAGCCCTACGAGCCCTTTAAGCCCTCTGAGCCCTACGAGCCCGAACAACGGGGCGATGTTCCCTCATGACATGGGATTCGGTTAAACTCCCTTGGTTCTGACACTCCGAACAACGGGGCGATGTTCCCTCATGACATGGGATTCGGTTAAACTCCCTTGGTTCTGACACTCCTCCTCGTTCTCCTCTGACCCTCCGTCCCTTTGATCAACCTTCCTTCCCCATTTCACTCGTCTTCTCCCTCTTCACATCCCGCCCTCTGCCTCATCTCACTCCCCTGGCCCTTCAGCCATTGCTGCTCGCCCTCCCGCCAACTGCCCAGGTCAGCCAGAAGAACCCCGACCCCACCGCAAAGGAGGACCTAGCATCCGTGGTGGAGGCCATCCGGAAGGACAACATCGAGGTGCCGACCGTCTTGATGACCAAGGCGAGCGCCCTTGCCTATCCTATCATATCCTATCCTATCCGTCTGGTCTCCCTACTCTTTCTCTCTCTCTCTCTCTCTCTCTTTCTCCCTCTCTCGTTCTCTCCCTCTCTCTCTTTCTCTCCCTTTATCTCTCTCTCTCTCTATTCCGTCTTTCTCTCTCTCTCTCTCTCTCTCTCTCTCTCTCTCTCTCTCTCTCTCTCTCTCTCTCTCTCTCTTTTTCTCTCTTTCCCTCCCTCTCCTTCTCACTCTCTATCTTTTTTCCCTTAGCTCAAGCTGATACTTTCTACTTCTCCCCTTCGCTTCTCTCCTTATCTACCTCTGTCCTCGCCCCCGTCGCCCCCACGCCCCCCTCCCCCTTACCTTCCCCCATCCCCTTTTCCCTGGTCCTCCGTTCCCTGATCCCCCGAGTCCCTCTCCTTCCCTCTCCCTTTCCCCGCTGCCCCGCCCGCCCGCCCGCCGCGGCTGGCCGCGAGGCGACGGCGCTCATCGGCGACGGCGCGGTCGAGGGGGAGGCGGCGCCCATGCCCATCAAGAGGGGGCGCAAGAAGAAGGGCGCCTGAACGTAAGTTCGGGCACGGGGCGAGGTGCCGTGCGCCTGACGGCGCGCGGACACGGCGCGGTCGCCCTGGGGAGAGGCGGCCGCTTGTTCGCAGGAAACGAGCGCTGTAGTCGATATCGTATACGTCATATGAGTCATGTACGTCTAAAGTACGAGTGTATACCATATGTCATAGATCAGTAGTACATGTCATTATTACATGATTATTGATATTATATGCGTGTATATAATGCAATATATATAATATAATATATAATATAATACAATCTAGCATAATATAATATAATGTACTATGACATAATATAATATATTGTAATAAAATATAATATGATATAATCAAATACAATATATTATATATATGCGAATATATATATATATATATGTATGCGAATATACATATATATTATATATTTTATATTATATATAATACGGTATAATATAATATAATCATTAAACTGTAAGTTATAATTATATATATTCTATATATATATACTATTTATTACTAATACTAATACTAATATTCATACATAATTAACATTTTTCCAAATTTTTATTATCAAAAAATAGTATTTACACATTTATGTTTGTTTTTTTTTCATATTTTTGTGTACAAGTGTACAATGTTTAAACTTACCAGTTATGGCATTATCTGTATTGTCTGAATATGTATGCTTTCTATGTCTGCGTGCATGTTACTGCTTCTATGCTTGTGCTCCAGTCGAAGATCTCCCAATCCAGCTAACCCATCATTGTGTCTGGTGGGCCTGCACACAGCAGGCCATGCGCCACCACCCCCGCCGTCCCTGTCAAAAACCACTTGACTGATCGCGGGATGGCCGCGCACGATCCAGAAGTAGCCGCGAGGTGCATGTCGTATTGTTTTTTGGCATGGATGGCGCCCCGCGCACAGCAGGCAATATGCTGACACCCACGCCGTCCCAATCAAGAACAATACAAGGTGCCCGCGGGCCTCACGAACATGACTCAAGACTTTGCCCCGAAGTGTACGTTATATTGTTTTTGACAGGGATGGTGGGGGGGACCCGCATCGGGTTGGTTGCGCAGTCTCCGAATTTGAAGGCAGAGTGTGTTTTGTATTGTTTTATTTGACAGGGATGGTTGTGGGGTGGGGAGCATAGGGTCGGCATTGTTCCTGGTTGGCTGCCAGTCGCCTGGGGGAGGGGCATATATTAACAGGGAACAGTGATGCAGTGATGAACCCCTCCCCGAAGGGGAAGAAGGGGGAGGAAAAGAAAGCCCTCCAGGCCACCTATACGCCTTACAGGGATGGTGGGATTCTTCTGGCATCGCCCGGAATCGCCCCGTAACGCGTCCCGTCCGCCCGGTCCGTCCGTCCGGATCCGCCCGCCGCCCGACCCGCCCAGCAGCGATACCGCCCGCCCGACCCGGCCGTCCGGGTCCGCCCGCCGGCACGTCCGTCGGGGTCCGCCCCGCCCAGCCCCGACCCGCTCCCGCTTGGGAGTCTCGATCGCCCCCCGTCAGCCCAGTAGGGTGCGCCCGCCCCTCTGCTGGAGGCCCACCCGCCCGCTGCATTGTCCCGCTTGCCCGCCCGATCTGCCCATTTGCTCCACTGTTCGGGCGAAGAGAACTATGCGCATGCACCGATCCTGGCAAGGCAAATCCTTGACCCAGGATCGGTGCATATGCCTTCCTGGCCAAGGTAGGAGGGCGTATGCACCGATCCTGGGCTCAGGATGGGCCTGGCCAGAATCGGTGTATGTGCATAGTTATTTTTCCTATAACTGTCAGGGTTCACCCGTGAGATGGCATGAAGAAAGAGGCCCCCCAGGAACGGGCGTCGAGGGCCTGGGGCATACACTCGGAGTGACACGCGAGCAACGAAGAGCGAACAGCCTGGCAATGACGCTTGTTGTCGTCGTCCGTCATCGTCGCCACCGCCGTCGTTGTCACCGCAGTCGCCGCCCTGACCCGGGGAATTGTTCTGGAGCGCGCACTTGCCGTGGCAGTAAGGCGTCCCCCCCCCCCCCCCCAGACGCGCTCCCCCCCCCCCAACAAAAAAAACAACTGCGGGAAACCGTTCGCCGCCGCCGCCTCCGCCGCCGCCGTCGTCGCCGACGAAAGCCTCGTCCCCGCCGCTGGCCGCCGTCGTCGCCGCAGGTTTTCCAGGACGAGATCTCCCGGCTCTCGAGGCTGAGCGCCCACCTGCCAGAGCTCCTGCCAGACCTGCTGTCGAGGGCGAACGACTACGTCAAGAAGGCGCCCGCGCGCCCCGCGGGAGCCATTTCGCTCGTCGTCGTGGTCGCCGTCGTCTCTGCCGTCTTCCGTCGGCTGCTACAGGAGCCCAAATGTTCCTTCGCTTGCTAATGTAGGGCCAGCCTTTGGGGGATCAGGAAAAAGTGAGCTCAGTTCCGTGGGTTGTCTCTGTTCGGGGCCCTGCTTCTGCATCACCAAATGCGTGCTCCTTGGCTCTCGGCTTTTCCTCCGCGGTTCCTTTGAAAGGTCTTCGCCTGGGCCAGTAGCTTTCTCAGAAGATATGTGGGCGACGCCAAAAAACGGGTCGGGCCGGACGAAAGGGGGGGATTGGGAAAGGGGGGGTTACGAAATTTGCTGCATGCAGCTGGTTTCGGCCTCACCGAGGGGCCAATTCCTCGATACATGGGCGCCTTCCGGCGCCGGGCGAGGCCGGGAAAATCAGCTACGTGAGCTGATTCTCAAACCCCCCCTTTGCTATCCCCCCCTTTCGCCCGACCCGAACGGGGCCGTCTGCGCCGACATTGGCGCGCAAGCTGCTCGCGTAAGGTCGCGCGTGAGCGCCTTCGCCTCCCTTGTGGCGTGCCGTGCCGGCGGCCCCGCGCATGCCGCCGCGTAGGGTCGCTACGTCATCTCGCGTACGACCCCTTTTTTTTTATCCTCGCTCGTGTGCTCCTTCGGTAGCCCTTCGCCGACTGGCCCCCAGAAGTCAGGAGAGGAAAACAAACACAGACACAGCTAATCCTCGATTCGGCGGAAAATATGGAAAATATGGGAAGTGGTGGGGGGGGGAAGACAGAAACCCTGAACATGTGGGAAACTATGGGGAATCTTTTTGTTTGTGTGTATTTATTTGTGTGTCCTGGGGCCCCTTCAAGAAGTCTGACCCCCCCCCTTAGCAGGCGAATGCCATCTTCTTGGAGATCCTCGTGTGCCCTCGGGCGCCCCCGCGCCGCGCCGAGCGGAGGCCGCCGCCCTGGGCTCGGGGCCCCCGGGGGCGCAGGGCCGGCCGTGGCGAGGGGGCCGAGGGGACTCCACACGGCACCAGACGGAGGCCGCACTCGGAGGGACCCTCTGCATGCTTTTTTAGTCAGCGGCCGCGGGCGAGCGCGCCGGCGGCGAGTCAGGTCAATGCGGGCTACGCAGAGACTAATTCGGCAGAGGAAGCGCGAGAAAATTACAGCAGAGGCGACGCGCGAGGCAACAGCTGCGCGCCAGCCGCGACCCTCTGCATACTCGAAGAAGAAAATGCACATTCACATGAACTTTCGGCGCTCCGCGCGGACTTCTCGGATCAGCGCTGGGGCCCCCTGGCGGCGCCTCCGGCGCCGCCCCTGGCGCACTCCGCGCGCCAGGGAGGGGGGGCCCAGCGCAGGTCCGAGAAGACCGCGCGGAGGGTCGGATGGTTATGTTTGTGTGTCTTTTTCCTTCCTCTGCGTGCGCAGATGGAGAGGGGGCCGGACCCGCCGGCGCAGGAGGTGGCGGTGGTGCCTGGCTTGCTTCGTGCCTGCTCGCTCCCCGGTGCTCCCGTTTGCCTCGGCCGCCGCGCGCGGCCCCGACGGCACGCGGCGGGCCAGCGCGGCCCCCAGGGCCTGCACGCGCCGTGTGGAGGAGGCGGGGGAGGGGGGAGGGACGACGCGGCGACGAGCAGCGGCAGCAGCCTGGCAGCAGACAGGTAGGCTCCTCCTCCTCGTCCTCCTCCTCCTCCTCCTCCTCCTCCTCCTCCTCCTCCTCCTCCTCCTCCTAGGGGGAGGGGGGAGGGACGACGCGGCGACGAGCAGCGGCAGCAGCCTGGCAGCAGACAGGCAGGGAGGGGGAGGAGCGGGCCTGCGCTGCCGGAGGCCCTCGCGCGCCCGCCCCGCCGGGCAGCCGCGGCGGGGCCGTGCAGGGAGCCTCGGCGGGCCCCTCTGGGGAGGGCACGGCGTGCGACGCGCGGCCTGGGCCTCCGACGGCCTCCTCCTCCTCCTCCTCCTCCCCCCCCTCCTCCCTCCTCCTCCTCCTCCCCTCCTCCTCCTCCTCCTCCTCCCTCCTCCTCCTCTCCTCCTCCCTCCTCCTCCTCCTCCTCCTCCTCTCCTCCTCCTCCCTCCTCCTCCTCCTCCTCCTCCTCCTCCTCTTATTCCTTGTCGAGTCGCCGGTGCCCAGACCGGGCGGGCACCCGGCTTCGCATCACCGTGGGCTGTTTTTGACAGTCCCACTGCACTTCGGCTTCGGCACCGCCTGTATCCGAGGCTATGCCTCCTCTCGGCCTCGCTCTGAGGCTCCGCCGCTTCCTCCCTCCTCTTCTTTGCCCAATTCAAGCTTCGCGCGGCCCGCTTAGCTTCGACCGGAAGAGGTGCGCTCTCGACCCGCGGATGACACCCGAGGTTTGGGGATCGTCCCCAGGAGGGGGGGGGCCGGGGGGGGGGGGCGGAACCCCCCAACGCCATCACGCCGATCGTGGGGGGTGCTCTGGCTCCAGGCTCGCTGGCAGCATGGCTTTGCCGCGTTGGCAGTGCACCGGGAAGCAGCATTGGCTCGACAGCGCGATCACGATCATGACGAAGACGATGTTGACGATGACGATTGCGACGATGCTGATGATGGTGAACATGATGGGAATGATGTTGATCATCATCATGATGATGATCATAAAGCTGATGGTGCCGATGATGACGAAGATGAATCGTTATGATGGCGTGATTGGAATTGCGATGCTGATGGTGGTGGTGGTGGTGGTGGTGGTGATGTTGATGAGGATGATGTTCACGACTCCGATGATGGTGCGGGTGATGGTGCTGATTGTGCTGATGACGGTGGTGTCGGCGACGACGATGATGAAGATGATACGACGACGGCGATGAGGATGAGTTTGATGATGAAGAGGAGGAGGAGGACCAGTGTAAACCCAAGAGTCATCAACGATGTTGGAGTAAACCTTCCCTCCAAGCTTCCTTGTCATAGGCCCAATACAACGGTCCATTTCCATTGAGGGAGCTGCCTCGTTGGAAGACTACCGTTTGAAGACCCTGAAGCATGCCCAAACTTGTTCTTGGGATTCCAACGCCACGGATCAACCTGACTGTTGATTCTTGACGATCCTGAATCGTGCCAGAGTGCCATTTCTGGGACTTCAACACCGCGAGGCAACATAGCTGTTGCACCCGCATAGTCCTGAATCCTCCCAAAACACCAGTTATGGTACGTTGGTCATGGGAACCCGTGAAACTCTTGCAAAATTGATAAACAAATGTGCGCGTCGCTACGGCGAGAGCTAAATGTTGACACGGAACCGCCCTGAATCCGTGAAGCTCTTGCAAATGTTTAAAACGAATGTGCGCGACGCTGAGGCGAGAGCCACATGTTGTTTTCCGTTCGCTTTCAATCCTTGCAACACTTGCAAATAATTACAATCGAATGTACGCGGCGCTAAGGCGAGAGCCACACCTTGAAAACGACCCGCCCTCCATCTGTGAAGCTGTTACCAAGGTTTAAGCTTCAGAATCATAATTGGTGAGGAAGTCTCAGACGAAACACCCGGCCCACCCTAACACTTGCCTCGGGGTGCAACAGGGAGAAGCCATTTATAAGGAAAAGGAGTAGAGGATTAAGATGAGGCTGAGGAGGAGGAGGAGGAGGAGGAAAAGGAGGAGGAGGAGGATGGTGGAGGAGGAGGAGGATGGTGGTGGTGGTGATGATCATGGCGAGGATTGCGATTTTGGCCCCATGGTGCGCCGAGGGGTCTTTCATGATCCCCTGATGGTCTGTGCCTCCCCGACGGCGGCCTGGCAGTATTCCCCCTCCGATGGTGTCTTGATGGTGCCTCGGTGGTGTCCCTGCGGTCTGTGAGTTGCGCGATGGTGTCCGGGAGGGGTCCCAATGGCAGGGCGGTCGTGTTTGGTAGGGCTTCGGGTTGCGTGCAAATGCAAAAGCCTCTATAGGTAGTCCTGGCTGGCCTCAACAGGCCCCTCGAGTAGTTGAGACCGCCCTGGTCTATTCGGAGGCTGTTGAGGCCAGCCAGGACTACCTACGGCGGCTGTGTCTCCATGGCGTCGCGGTGATGCTCCGAAGCAAGAAAAAGGTGATGAGCAATCGTGAAGTAAAACCTGAGACTAAGGAATGCAGCTGGGAGAACGAGCCGCGGGTCCGCCCAAACTGCGAAGCGCTCGTGAAGCACTCGTGAGACAAACGCGGGGTCGATTGTGCATTAATTGTCATTCAAATGCTGACCTACTGAAACTACCTTGCGACTATGTTCGTTTTTTCAACTGCGAGGAGCATGCTCTCAATTGTGAGTAAACCTTGTACCGACGGGGAAGTAGTTGTGGAGCAGTGTCAAGCGCGCCGCAAATTCGAATCAAGTATTCAAAATACCTCGCGCATTGACCAACAGCGATTTAAGAATGACGCTAACCATGGAGGATGCAAATCAATCATGGAAGGACCGCAATTCGATGTCACTTTAAAGCACAGTCATATGGCAATCGCATGTCTGCCAAATGTGATCGAGACGTGATCCACATGCACATCACACTCAATTCAAACGTGCACCCAGTGTGGAATCCATGCGGACAATCCGTGAATCGAGGATCAGTGTGAAGTCGGTGCGCGTCACATGCGAATCAGGCGTGAAGCAACGGTGAACCAGATGAGTGTCGAATGTAAATCGAATATGTTAAACATTCAAACTAAGTGTGCTGCACTCGTCGATTTGAGTTGACTGTACAAACGTAGCACCCTACCCTACGTTTTCTCATAGACCACATGCTGGCCTGCCAGATTTATCGGGTCAAGCCGTCATCGATGTGGATCCAAGTTGCACGTTCACTTGGCAAGCTAGAATAGCTGGCGCATAATTCGCGATGCCTTCTACATCGCTTGTCTTCGAGTCGCCAGGGGCTGTCTTGGAGGCTTGCCGCAGGGACACAAGGTCGCTCCTCATCTACCAGAGCAAGGTCCTCGATGTCAGCAAATTCTCGCATCCAGGACCGCAGACGTTGATCACAAAGAACATTGGAGCAGATATCACCCACGCCTTCAATAAGCAGGGACATTCTGACCATGCCAAGGTTCTGTGTGACCGAATGGTTGTCGGGACACTGGGCAAGGTCGTCCAGGGCAAATTACTACCGAATCCCCATGGGGATTCAGACTTGTTCACCTCAGAGGAGCAGGAGGTGCATGCCAGACTCGACCAACTCATTGACATGAGCAAGCCCTTAATGCCTCAGGTTCGCAAGATGACGAATCGAGAGTTCAAAGCGCTCATTTCGCGGCCACGTTACATCGAAGACGAGGATGGGATTCAGCTCTTTGCCGACCCCAAGCGAGACTTCAACAACAAACGAGATTTCAGCCAAAACGTCAAGGTGCTGATTCCATGTATTTGCTTTTTTGTTTGCATGTCTTATGTGTCCGCTTCGGACGCCCGCGATTTCGTTTTCAAGATGGCCGTGTACTTCTTGTCGGGTGTGGCCATCTAGATGCCTGCGGCAAGTTGCGCCACCGTGACCGCGCGGCGCTCAGTGTGCCGACCTCTCCGGAAGCCGCTCGGACGGGTTGCAGCATGCATCAGCACCCGTTGAGGCTCCAGCGTGTTGTGCCCGGCTCTCGAAACACGTGGCGTCTCCCTGTCAGCATCACAAAAATGCAGCGCCACACACTTTAGAATGATTGTCTCGAGGAAGGCGGCACTGTGTCTGTGTGTACGTGCATATATGTACATATCTATATATATATATATATATATATATATACACGTACAGTTCCCACCTCGTCCTCGGCCAAGGGGGTCTGGGCCGGGACCCTGAATGGGGGGGCGCGCGCCCCCCCAGCGCCCAAATTGGTGCCCGAAACGTCCCAAGGTTGCCCCACGATGGCTCTGATGGCCCCCAGGTATCCCGATATGGACCGAAGACGGCCCAAGATGCCCAGAAGACGGTCCGAGTGGACCTCAAGACGGCCCAAGATTCAAGACTGCCTGGACACTCCCAATCCACTCCAAGACGCAGTCCGAGAGCGCTCCCAAGAGACCCTAGAAAGGCACAATGCATTGGTTGCCCGTTGGATTTGGAAGAGAATTTGTATTTTCGTTTTCTGTTTCCAAACCGTCCACGAAGGTCCCAGAGATTCCGAACACCGCCCCAAGACGGTCCAAAAGGGCTCCACGAGAGCCCCCAGTTGGCCCAAATCCTGCCCAAGACGGCCACAAGACGGCCCTGAAGTCTGGCCCAGGAGGTCTCTAGGACGGCCTAAGAGGGCGCCAAGAGAGTGCCAAGACGGCCCTCAGAGACCCCCAAGATTCAAGACGGCCTCGGGGGTCAGAGCAGCCCAAGGAGGCCCCAAGACGGCCTGAGAGCGTCGTGGGCCTCGGAAGCCGCGCCGAGACGGCCAAAGGACGGCCCCGGGAGCCCTTCAGGCAGCCCCAAAGACACCGGAGGGTTCCAAAGGCGTTATTTTTGGGAGGGGGTTTTCCAGGATGGGGTCCCCCAGGGGCTTCGCACCCTTTGTGTTGACGAGGTTTCGAGGCCCCTGGGGGGCTCTCTGGGACCCCCCCTCCCCCAAAAACCCCTTTTGGAACCCTGCAGAAGGAGAGCCCGAAGAGTGCCGCGTGGTCGTTCAGCAATCTGAGGCTTCCTGCGGGAGGGAGGAGGGGGGGGGCAGGAGTCAGAAAGAGGACGCCAGGGGCCGGACGGGCGATGATGCTTGGGAGAGGGAGGAGAAGAAGATGGGAGAAGAAGGCGGAGAAGCGGAAACTAGGGAAGGCGATGGACTAGGGCCACCACGAGAGTTCGAAGTGCATCGCGCTTTGCGGCCTGGGCGATTTCAGAGCGAGGCGCGAGCCCCCCATCTTGTTCCGGCGCGTTCTTGGGCTATCTTGGACCACCTTGGGCTCTCTTGGGGCCGTCTTGGCCGTTTGGGAGGCATCCTCGGCCGTCTTGGAGGTCGTCTCGAGGCCATCTTGAGCGACAAAGCCGACGAGACAGGTCGCCGGCGCGCGGTGCCGAAGGCCCAGGGGGAGTTCTAAGAGAGCCAGAAACCTTTCAGAACGTTCAGCGCTGGGCACCCCTGTGGCAAGCCAGCAGGAGGCAGGAGGCGGCGGATCGAAGACGCCTACGGCGAGTCACCGCCGCCCCCTGCCCTTTTGGAAGCGCCTGCGTGGCCGAACGTTGGGTCTGAGCTTGGCCAAGCTATGGGGCCACGCGTTCCCCGAGTGGGTTTCGAAAGCCTTCGGGGAACACGGAGTCGGGCGAGCTATCGGACCAGGTGGTTTCCGAGCTCTCGAGCCTTCCTGGAGGTCTTAGAGGGGTCTTGGGCCGTCTTGGAGGCCTCTTGCGGGCCTTTTGGACAGTCTAAGGCTATCTTCAGACCATCTGGGGCAGTCTTGGGTGCATCTTGGGGCCATCTTCGCTGTCTTGGAGGCCGTCCTGGCCGTCTTGGAGGCATCCTGGAGGCCATCTTGGCCGTCTTGGAGACCATCTTCGGCGTCTTCGGGACCATCTTGGGCCGTCTTGGGCTCTTCTTGGGGCCCTCTTGGACTGTCATGGGGCCATCTTGGAGGCCTCTTGGGCGCTCTTGGGACGATGTTGGTGGCCTCTTGGGCCGTCTTGGGCCGTCGGAGAGCTGATAAGAAGAAAATGCCAACATCCTTAAAACACCAAAGGAAAATTAATGATTTGTGCTTGGAGCGCTCTTGGGCCGTCTTGGAGGCCTCTTCTGGGCCTTCTGGGCCGTCTTAGACCATCTTGAGGCCATCTGGGGACGTCTTGGGTGCATCTTGGGACCATCTTAGCCGTCTCGGAGGCCATCTTGGCCATCTTGGAGGCATCTTGGAGGCCATCTTGGGCCATCAGGGCGGTTTTGAAAGCCATCTTGAGCCGTCTTGGGGGAGTTTTGGGGAGAATTGTGCGCCCTTCGGGTGGCCGGCGGGACGGGCCGAAGCTCCAGGGGGAGTTCTTTTGGAACATAACCAAAACCAACACCGAAAGGATCTAGCACGCCAGGCATCCCTGTGATGAATCAACAGGGGGCGGCAGATCGATTGGCCTTCGGCCCATCCCGCCACCGTGCCTGGGTTGTGGGTCTGAGGCCTCGTGGATGGTCGTTGGGATGTCGTCGAGGCCTCTCGGAGGCCTCCTGGAGGCAGTTTTGAGGCCTCTGAGGAGCTGTTTTGGGTTCTCTTGGGGCCTCTTTGGGGTCTCTTGGGGGCCTCTTGGGGCCTCGTGGGGGCCTCTTGGGTGCATCCCTGGGCTTCTTAGGGCCCTCTTGAGGTGGAAGGTTGGAATGTTGCATTCGTGATTCCCCTCTTGGGCCACTCTTGGGGCCGTCTTGGGGGGTCCTCTTGGACCGCGTTGGGCGGGTTTGGGGCTGTTTTAGGGCCCTCCTGGGCTGTCTTGGGGGCCTCCTGGGGGCCTCTTGGGCCGTCTGGGGGCGATCTTTGGGGCCTCTTGGGCCGTCTTGGAAGCCTCTCGGAGGTCTCTCGGGGCGGCTTGGAGGCCTCTTGGACCGCCTTGGGGCCATCCTTGGCGTCTTGGAGCAATACTAAGGCGTCTACTGGCCCTCTTGGATCATCTTGGGGGGTCTCGTGGGGCTCCCTTGGCCAGTCTTGGGGCCCTCTTGGGCCCCAACGAGTCATGCGGGGAGGTGCGCCTGATCCCCGACGGCTACGCGGCACGCCCCGATAGGTATGGCACTTTGGGCTCGGGGCCCCTAAGAGACTCCTCAGGAGTGAGGAGTGACGCTTGAGTATTGAGGCTCAAGGGATCTGGCAAAGGACCCGAGGACACGCCCAGTCGCGCTTGGTTTGTAGGTAAGGCATCTGCCCTGCTGGCGCTCGCGGCGGTCATCTTGGGGCGGAAGGCTCGAAGTGTCAGCTCAAGTTCTCCCTCTTGGGGCCCTCTTAGGCCGCCTTGTGGGCCTCTTTGGCACTTGTTGGTGCCATCTTGGGCGTGCCCAGCTTCCCTCGTCCTCGCTCCGCGGTCTCCCCCTCGGGCAGGCTCCTCTTCGGGTGGCCCGCTCTGGCCTCCAGTCTCCTCCTCTTCCCCTGGCCCGCTGGGCTCCTCTGCGGCTCCTCTGTGCGCTTCCTCCTCCTCCAGCAACCTGCCTCCTCGATCTCCTCCTTCGGGCTTCGGGGAAGGGACAGGAGTCTCAATGACACGCCGCCGCTGGGAGCCCGTCAGCGCCGCACTCCTTGGTTTCTGTCCGAAGGCTTCGTGCTTCTTCAACGGCAGCCAGTGATGGCGTCCCTACGGTACCTGCGGCGTCGTGTGATTGATTTAGCTTTTGCTCCCCCACCCCTGAACCTTTTCCTCTCTTTCTTCTTTTCTCAGCCTCTCCTGCGCCCCGCGCCGGGCCTCGTTCTGCGGCCACCTGGCGTCCCAAACTTCTTGGCCACATACCCCGTGTAGTGCAGGACCCCCTCATCCTCCCTGCAGTCCTGGCCCCGGAGTCGGCCCCACCTCTGCTGGGGCACCCGGGGAGGGCGCGCTGGTGCCTCCCTCGGTCTCATCCTCTTGCGCCGGAGGCGACGATTGGGGCGCACAGCCCAGGGGCGGGGGCACTACACGCATTCGCTCGGGAGCCTCGCCGAAGACATGGACAATCGGCGCCCCTGGATGCACGCACAGTTCCCCTCGGGGCGATCAGGCCCGCGCGGCTGCGGCCATCATGCCCGCATGGCGCGGCCTTGGCCTGGCACTTCCCGGCGCCCTGGCAAGGTTCTGCAGTGGCCGGGCGGGCCTGCCTGTGGCGCCGCCGCCACGGGCTCCTGGAACGCCCCGCTCATCAAGTGCGGGCGTAGCGTGGACGTCGTCGCCGCATGCCGTGCCGGCTTGGCTCCAGTCTCGTCGTGGCGCGTGTGCGCCAACCTCGCGGCCTCCCTGCGCTGGGTCTTCCGGCGCTGCTCCCGGCTCCTCCACCTCCAGGCTTCCTGGGACCTCGTGCAGGTTCGAGGCTTCCTGGGGCCTTGTGCAGGGGCGCTGCCCGCGCGTCTCTCCCTCGGAGCTGCTCCTCGATGGTGGCGCGCCGCCAGCGGTCGGTGCAGCCTCCGACCCTGGGTGGGGCCACCTCCAGGGCGCCTCCTTCGTCCACCCGGCTGGGAGCATCCACCCCTGGGAGGTCCCCCGCACAATGGACCGCGCGTCCTGGTCCACAGGCTCCCCAGAGATCCGAGGACTTGATTTTTTCAAGCTGGAGGTTTTTTCATGGATTTTGGCTTCCGGGGCCCGTCATCGGGCAAGGGGGCCATCAAAACTAGATCTGGGACGACACAGCACTCCAGGGAGAGGGACCTCTGGGGCCGCGGCTTGGAAAAATCAGATCGGCGGATGTCTGGGTCGTTGTGTGGTGTCTGTTTAACAGTGGGCGCAGACGCGCTGAAGAGGGCGGCGGCAGTCGCATTCATCAACCTGCACTTCACAACAGTCACATTCCCGCCCTCGCTTCCCCAGCGCAGAGGAGGCCGCAGTATGCGACACCTGTTTCACGATGGCCCAGGGTTCTGTTCCATGGGTCCTCGACAGTACTGTAGCCTCACAGGTACCTTCTGTGGGCCTTTTGGGGGTCTGCTGACTGCTCATGGTCTTTGGGGTATTTGGAGGGTCCCGCGGCCGTCTGGGTCTTGGGCAGCTTTGGGGACTCCTGGGACCACCTATCTAGCGGACATGTGAGGGGCGTCTTGGGCTTTCTCTAGGCCGCCTTGGAAGCCATCTTGGGGCCTCTTGGAGGTTGCTTAGGGCGTGCTGGGCGTATGTTTGGGATTCTCCGGGCCTCCTGGGACCAGAGACGGGCGATGGGCTACATGCACAAAGGAATGAGCTAACACTGCGTGTTTCGGATGCACATGCTTTTTCGCCTGGAGACCCGCTTAGAGGCTTATTGAGGCTTCTTATGCGCCTCTTGGGCGTCTCTGGGCGGGGATGCTTTCAGGCTTTCAGCTACCTGTTGGAGCATTGTGAGATCACCTTGGCAGCCTGAAGGGCCTTGCTGGGCAATGTTGAGAGTCACGTCGGCCATCTGGTAGGCATCGGATACATATCGAGTGACGGCAGGGCGCCCTGGGACCCTGTGGAGGGCTGGTGTTCGCAACTCGTTGCCAGCAGGACCCTCAACAAACATAAGTGTGGCGCCACCCCAATCAAAACAATCCCTCTTGGTGAAGGCATACGTGCGCAGCGCAACGCAATCAGGCTGGGCGCAACACGCAATGAGGTGCCGTGCGCTGCAAATCATCATGCGCACATCGTTGCGCAGCCTAGCACAGCGTTGCATATCAGTCTTCTGATGCGTTGAACAGCACAGCGCATATCGCAAATCGTAGCATAAAGGAGCATGGGGTAGTACAGCACGGCGTAGTCCGATAGTACAGATTGTGGCGGATCGCGTTGTCACTCATTGTGCATATTATATTGCGGTGCCATGTCGTACAATGATCTGCCTTATGATGGCACGTGATGTTATTGCGTGACGTATCGGTGCCAAGTGTTGCGTAGCATGCCATGCCACATCGCAACCAGTAACATCATCATCAACGCATAACAGTGGATCCAATGCCGCGTACGTTTGTGTCAGGGTGTATCACGTCACGTCGTAGTGCGCCATAGCACGGCGTCGCACAGCATAGCATGCCATGGCAATTGGCCTTGAGGCAGAAGTCTGCGAAGCTTGGCAATTTGCAACTCTCGGTGCTGATGTGCTTGTCTCATGTTCTGTTTCCGCGGCCTGAGTGTACCTCTCGACCTGGCGCGCTACAGGTGCCTCTGCATACGTACAGGCCCGACTGATTTGGGCTGCAGCAGGGAGTAGCGTAGCATCGGATTCGCTCGCACAACTGGCGCCCAGGAATTCGGATTGATTTCCTCTCCAGACGCCGTTTTCCTTCACAACACCAAAAAACGGCGGCGAGCCCTGGGGGGAAGCGAGAGGGAGCGGGCCTTCTCAGAAGGCGGTTGGGCTTCTGAGACGCCCCACGGCTTTCTGAGAAGCCGTCTCTGTCTTCAGAGAAGGCTTCGAACATCTCTCAGAGGGCGCGAGGGCTTGTGAGAAGCCCCGCCGCCTTCTGAGAAGGCCTGCCTCCTCTCACTTCCCCCCCCGGGCGCGCCGCAGAAGCAAGGCCCCCGAGCCTCACCGAGACATTGTGAAATGCACCATGCAGCCCATGTTAAGCAGCTCCGCTGCGTGCCAAGGGGCGCGCGGGCGGTTCTTTTGGACAGCGATCGAGTACTACTTCCACCGTATCGTGCTGCACGGCGAGCTGAATCTTGACCCGAATGCCGAGGCTGACCCAGACCAGCTCGCAAAGATCTTCAGCGCGCATACTCACCATCATGTATTCATGAACCAGCGTTTCCGCATCGTGCTACCATTGAAGGAGTGTTATTTGCACCAGGGTGGGCCAGGCTTTCTGTTGTCCTGTTTGGTGTTGCCGCAATCTGTTGTTTGGCCGCTCTTTTGTGGCTTTTTGACAGGCTCAGTATTCTACGACGCTGTTCATTTGTCGTGCCATTTTGATGACGTGTTGCCAAAATGGGTCACTTCGACACGCTGGTTCGAGGAAAGAAAGAGCGCACACATGCGGCACCACTACCGCGACAACTCCAAAGAGTTCGGCGTTACAGCAGGTCTTTGGGATTGGATCATGGGCACACTGCAAGCGGGAGAGAAGGGCATCCAAAAGCCTTAGGCATTGTATACATATAGTTGAGTTGGCGGCCGCGTCGCTTGCCAGGCGAACCAGATGATGCGCAGCTGTCCCCCCCCCTCCTCCGTTCCTCCTCCCCCTTGTGCTCCCTCTCCTCCGCCATTATTCCTCGTCCTCTCCGTGGGTTCAGCTGCTGGACGGATCAGATTTTGCGAAGCCGCTTGCCCGTGTTGTGGCCCCGCCCTGCCTTTCAACTCTTTGCGCAGCCCTCTGCATATACGATCTGCACGGGGCACGTGGCAATCCTATCGGCTCCTGGTCCGCTACCGTGAACAAGAAGAGTGCGCGTGTGTCGTGTCCGCACCAATCCGTCCAGCGACCATTCCCAGGCGAGGAGCACTGACCGCGGCAGTGGATGAACAGACCCCTTTTCGTCTATTGTCCAGCAAGCTGGACGGCGTCCCGTATGAGCGCCGCGAAGGACCTCATGGTTGGCTCCTGAGTTTGCTGTGGCAGTGGAGAGGCCGTCCCCGGTGCCTGAGACCGCCTGCGCACCCCTCGCCCGTCGATTCTCGGCGGTCGGGCCTCCTCCTCCTCAGGAGCCTCCCTCATGACCCCCCTTGCCCCTCCTCCTTCATCTTCTCCACCTTTTTGTTCCTCCTCCCCATCCTGATCCTTCTCCTCCCTCCTCCTCCTCCTCCTCCTCCTCCTCCTCCTCTTCCTCCTCCTCCGCCAGCTGCCATGGTTGCTCGAGCGATTCCGGTGGTAGCAGGCTGGCTCCTTTTCGCAGCAACTCAAGTTGGGGCTTCCCGCACCTCGCCCCGTGCGATCGGCGAGCCGTGGCTGAGAGATGCGAAGATCCTTGGCTGGAGCACTCAGAGCGCTCGCGGAAACAGACTTGATGATATTGTGTTGACGTGCAGGTCGTTCGATTTCGTACTGCTGGGGAGGACACAGGCGTGTGATCGTAAAGCAGAGGAGCCCCTCCAGCGACGTGTCCAGGGGCAGTGGATCATCGATAATGAGTATAGTCCTGGGCACTACAACCCCAGCGCGGTTTGCGCGGTGATATTGAACCGGGCCTACCATCTCAGCGACGTGGTGCGAGTATGGTCGAGTCTTCGAAAGGCGCGAGGTTGGGCCCTGGAAGTTCGGATCAAGCGTGATTGTCAGGACTACTCCTAGGTGGTTTTTGACTTCCCACCGCAAGCGAGGTGGGCCACGGAGGTTCCGCTCTACCTCGAGACGGTGCGACTGCTGGGCGACTGGCTTGACGAGGTTCTCAGCTCCCTTCGCGCTGCTGTCCAATCATGTATTCAGAGGTGAACGACGGTATCGGTCTCGGTCGCAAGTCGTCGAAGTGGCAGTTGGTTGATGACGGAGTGGTGTCGGAGATGGGTGCGACGAAGGTGGTTAGGAGGTACAGAGCAGGAACGACGGTTCGTGAGCGAACCGCTAAGCATCACTTGTTGGCGGCGAATGCACGGACGGGATGGATGCCGACGTATATCGGCACGAAAGGTGGCAGCTCCATGATTGATTATATGTTCTTCACCCTGCATGTGGCAGATGTGATTGAGTATTGCCACCCAAACAGGGGCCGTGGTGCGCACCTGCAGGCGTTCAAGGGCCCGCCCCCGCAGGATCAGGCGTCGATCATGCTACACATTCAGGTTCTCAAGTTTTCAGCACAGATTCATCGAGCCCCTCGAGTGCGTTGGGGTCGGGGTAAGATTATGAACGCTCTGAGGGCGGAGGGCTACTTGAAGCGCGACTTCCTGGCGGCCGCGGAGAGAATCGATTGCATAACGAGGACCCCCAGCGGACGGAGATGCCACGGAGGGGGGACCCATCTCGCTTCTTCCATTACAGAACCAGGTTTAGATCGAGGCGGGACAGCCTCTATTTCGCCAATGGCATCAGTAGCAGTATCAGGGAGATGTGGCGCTTCGGCGAGACCTTCTCCGAAAACGGGCCGAGCTCCGAGCTGAACTGGGATCTCCGGCGGCTGGGAGCGCTACTGGGTTGGAGCAGATTGAGGCGGAGTTGAAGGAGGTCACTCGTCGGCTCTACCAGCAGCGTCACCCAGAGAGAGCGGCGCGGAAGGGATTCATGGAGGAGAGTATCGAGGCAGCCTGGAAGGATGGGAAGCTTGCGCTGATGATGAAGCTTTCTCGGGAAACTGCCAGGTGCAGGTTCGGACCAAAGAGGCGCGATGGTCGCGCGGTCTGAGCTGCCCCGCCCATTCGCGCAGAGTGGCTGGCCGCCAGGGAGCAATCAGGCAAAATGGGCGGCGCGCCGGCGATGGAGGTGGACCCGCCTGCGCCGGCGACGCCACAGGAGCCCTTCCCCGACCTGGCGCAGGAGATGGAGGAACGCGCCCGCAACGTCATGATGGGGCGTGTATCATGGGCGGTTCAGAATGGCTGGTCGTCGACGCGTTGTTCCTGGGTGGGCCCCACCTGTCGAGATGTGGCAGTTTTGCTCCCACCCCGACAAACGACTCGTCAAAAGGCGATGGGGCTTTGGAGCTGATGCGGGCATCCCCAGCATGTCTTGCTTCGCGGAGGCGATGCTGGGCGGCTTTCGCATGGTCCGTCGCGCGGCTCGGACTCCGAGTCGCTGGCGCCGCAGCTCGGCCGTCGGCTTGCGCGGGAGTGGGGCTCCGGGGGGAAGGGCGAGCGCGCCGCCCACGTTCTTGACCCTTTGGGCAATGGCTTCGACTCCGACATCTTGCAGGTACCCATGGGCGTTACTGATTATGGTTGCATCAAACATCGTCGGCGGGAATGGGGCCATCATGACGGCTCAGGCGGTGGCCCGGAGGCCGCGGCACTCGTGCTATGCGTTCTCCGCCAGCCTGAAGGACATGAGCAAAGCGTTCGCGTCAGGTCACTATTCTGAGTTGGATGGATGTCAAAGTGGATTTGCGCATTGAAAATGATTTAAACCTTCCGCTGGCGATGCAAAGATATCGAGAGGCCCACATTCGGCCCCCAACGTCCGGCGGTACTCCCTTGCGGCTCCAACCAAGCGAAGGTGGCGCCTTGGGGGGCCCATGCGTCGCCGCCCTCTTCGGGGGCGCGCTCAGTCGTCCCATCTTCTCTTGGAAGCATCGCGGGGTCCATCGTGCTGCTCGTGCCCTTATCTCTTAATGGACGGATATGAAAGCAAACCTGAGCATGTTTGAATAGACTGGCGACGTCTGAACTTTGACAGTGGCGCTTCGATTTCAGAGGATCTCAGATTTCTGGGGCGGATGAGAGATCTGGATCGTAGATTCGAGGAAGAGTTGGAGGAGGTATGTTCTGGAGCCAACAAGAGTAAGCAGGTCGTTTTTTTGGCATGTCTCGGGGGCAAGAAATTTGAAGGTCAAATGGCGGTTTCGCCAACGTGCCGCGACCATTTCGGGAGGAGAAGTTCAAGAATGCATTGGATATCTCGGGCGCTACATCTCGCTGCCAGGTATCGTGGGCCCCGAGGTCTCCAGGCGCAAGGAAGCAGCGTCGGCGGGCTTCTACTCCGCGGTCGGTTTCAGGTCCCTGAAGTGCCCCTGGAGGTGGACCAGAGTCACCCTGATTGGGCTCGTCCAGAAGGCGTTATTCAGTGGATTGGAGGCGATGGTGGTGACATCTCAGCAGCGCAAAGAATTGCATGCTCAGCTTGCGCGCCTCTTCCGGGTACCACTCCATGGTCGAGGCGTTTCGCGCGGGGGTGCCCATGCTAAGACGTGGTCTGATTCAGGAGTGCTGCAGCACCGGGGGCTGGCGCCGAGTGCAAAAGAGCTGCTCGTCCGGCGCTTGAGCCAGCGCCAGCAGATTGCCCGCTTCCCTGACAGTGGCAAGCAGCTCCTGCGCGCGCTGTCCGGCCGTTTCCCAGCGCTGGAGTTCGGTCTGTCGGGCGAAGCGAGATCTACTGAACCACCTTCGAGCTGGGCGCCGCGCTCGTGATCGCCAACGAATGTATGAGTGGTATGTCACGCCGTACTTAGCTCCAGGGTGGTGGCTGGCCGACGTCTCTTTCGGTGGTTGATTCGGGGTCATTGCCCCCCCGCTGGGTCTCGAAAGTTTCGCGCCCCCCCCCCCCCCCGAGAGCCTGAGTTGCAGAGCGTGCGGAGTCGAGCGCGCCGACCTGGGTCATCTCTGTAGCCATCTGTTTCAGCATTAACCGAGAGTTGCGCTGCCGCGCCGCCCCCCTCTTCGCGCCACAAGTCAGAGACGGAAGCGGCGTGGCCCAGCATGGCGCTCCGTCGTGGCTGGCATGTCCTGCGCCAGATGCGGCGACGCAGCCTCCCCCCGCCGAGACCTCCAAGACGGGCGCTGCGGGCGGCGGCGGTGGGGGGCGGGGGCGGGGGCGGGGGGTGGGGGGGGCTGGGGTGGTGTGTGTGTGTGTGTGTGTGTGTGTGTGTGTGTGTGTGTGTGTGTGTGTGTGTGTGTGTGTGTGTGTGTGTGTGTGCGTGTGCGTGTGCGTGTGCGTGTGCGTGTGCGTGTGCGTGTGTGTGCGTGTGCGTGTGTGTGCGTGTGCGTGTGTGTGTGTGTGTGTGTGTGTGTGTGTGTGCGTGTGTGTGCGCGTGCGTGTGCGCGTGTGTGTGTGTGTGTGTGGGGGGGGGGGGGGGGGGGGGGGGGCGTTGGAGGCAGGGGCATTCGCGAGACAGCGAGGACGATGGGGCGCCCTGTGCTGGCGGATTCCCGCGAGATCCAGGACGCGGCCGCAGCGGCGCGCCAATGTTTCGAGGTCGCGATGGGCGGGCTGGCGGGGGGGCAGGGGGCCGCGGGCGGGGCGTGCGGCGCGCAGCCAGAGGTGTTGCGAAACAGGGTGGCGAACGGAGAGACGGTCAACTTCGCGGAGAGGTGCCCGCCCTATGCGGCGGCATTTGCGGCGCTGGTCAAATGGTGGGGAACGGAAGGCAACCCGGGCAGGGGGGCTGACGAAGGGCTTCGCGTCTTTGTGGAACGACGCGGTGACGACTCACTCCCCGCGGCAGTTGGCAGCTCTGGCGCCATGCTTCCGATGGAAAGCGAACGAGGACCAGCCGACATGAG